AAGTTTAGTCTAATAATTAATTTATATATTTCCTTTGGCGTGTAATAATGATAATAAGAATATGTAAGACTTAAGGTATTCATTTTATTTCAACTAATAATTATTTTCAATTTAAAGACCAAATAACTTTCAAGTTTTATTACCCACGCATAAATGCAATCAACTCCTAATTATCTTATTATGCATTGTACATACATAGATGGTACATACGCAAAGATATTATATGACTTAGAACCCTAAAATAAAATTAACTCAATGGAAGTACTGTACCTAATAAGAAACAGAAAAAAATATATGGAAGATTTATTTTGGAGTTAATATAGTGTAACAATAAAAATATCTGTTCCCAAAATGATAACTTAAGTGCTGCTTGAGATCGGAGATTATATAGTCAACTGATAAATACAACTTTTAATTCCTTTCTTTGTTAAGTTATACTCTGTACATTAATAATAAATAATTCTAGATCTAAATACTCATAATTTTTGGTTCTATAATTTATTATTTTTAATAATACCTATAAAAGCCACTTCTGCATTCCTTTTTATTATAATCTTTAGTTGGCTTAGATTAAAGAGTGAAGAAAGCTGATAAATTATTAATGTGTACTATATGTTAATAACATAATATTTAAAAAATGCATTGTTCAATACAACTGTTATCCTGAAATTAAATAAAAATATTCGAATCAATTTAAGTAGCTACAACATGTTAAAAGGAATTGAAATTTCAATTTTTCAATAACATTATGTTAACAAAAATGTTAAGACTAATTATTAAACTCTAATTAATTTAAGAATAAATATAATACACTAAAAATGTTCTTATTATTGTACTTCCTTTAAAAATAAATAAATTATATCTACTTTTATCTGTCACCAGAGATAATAAAGATAAATCAAAATTAATCAATTTAATTATTGATTAAATAATATATCAATTCGACTCATTCTTAAAATGTAAGTGTACTTAATGTAATTTATTATGGCTTCAAGACTGTGCTTAGGAATTTTTTCACATCGCGCATTTCCTGAAAAAATGGTCGTAACATTAAAAAGGGAATTTAGAAATTTATAAGAATATAACAGAATAAACAAAAAAAAAAACAAAAAAACCAAAAATAATAATTATACATATCTGAAAAATAAATACATGTTATTTTAATTAAATAAGAATTTATTTCAGCATTTACCTCTTCAGAGGATGTATGCATCATTCCTCTGTATGTTTTAAATTCTGTTTGTGTCATAAACTGTTTAAGAAATGATGCAGTCATTTGACCCCATTTATATGGCACTATAGGATCGCAATCTCCATGACATTGTAATAACGGTGTATCCTTATTTACTAATGCTTCCTAAGAAGGAAATAAAATAATAACAACATAGTAATAATAGTAAAAAAAATAAAAATGAGAGAATTACTAAAATATTACTAAGATTTGAAATAAACTTACTGCCGGAAACTTTTGATGTAAAGGAAGCCATGTTGACAAAGCTACTATTCCAGCTAAAGGTTCTGGGTGTGTAAGCGCACTATACATAGCTAAAGCTCCACCTTGACTAAATCCTCCTAGGACAATATTTTTTGTTGATATACCTGCAGCAACTTCTTGTGCAATTAAACTATGAACATATTCCGTAGCTTTACGTATACCCTCTTCATCTTCTGGACCAGCAGGATCCAGAGATCGTAAGTCAAACCTGTTAATTAAATGCTACTTAATTATGTAAAATTATTATACAGGGTGATCCATTAAAGTAAAGCCACATAAATATCTCATGTAATTGTGATGCAACAAATATATTATGTAATGTGCATGATGTCAAGGGACCAATAACATCTGATAAGAATATTTTTTTCTCTTGATCATTTTTTTGAAGTTATCAGGGTCATCGGTGTTTTTTTTTTTTTTTTACATATAGTTACATTACTTGTTTATTGCATTGTGTAGCTAATCAAAAATATATTGAGATATACATAATATCATGACCTTGAAATAACCTTGATCCTTGAAAATCAAAATTGTAGGTGGTTTCATCTTTCAATCATTGAATATAAGGAAGACATATCGGAATTGCATTTAGAAACATATTGATAATAAATAGATCAAAGTGTAATCGGCTAAAAGATATGCGTAAACATTTAATAACATCAAAGGATCTTAATATGTTTACTATGTCTTATTTGTTATAAGCATATTCTGCTTTTCGTGGTTCCATTTAAATAAATGAAGGTAACTTTGATATCTTTAAAAAAAAATATGACATAAAAAGAAAAATATTTTTGGCACCGTATGAGCCCCCATCAAACTATTCAATTGTTTCCTTAAGATATTTGACATTTTTTTCAAAATAACAAAGATATTTAAAGTACCAACGTTAGTTGACTCACCCCGTATATTATTCATTCAAATATAGCGATTTAATAAACATTTTTATAATGTTTAATAAAGTTACTTACCAAGATGGCATTCTAAAGCCTGCATTAAGAGTAACTGGCATTGTTGGTCTAAAAATATAATAGATAAATATTAAATTTTCATGGAATTATTTTAATATTAACTAAATATTGTTTATAATAATTGTAACATACGCTGTTGGACAAATAACTTTGACATGAGATTGTCTTATAGCTGCCATAGGACTGGCCCAACCATTTCTGTAAAATAGAAACTTATTATTATTTAATATTTTAACTAAATCAATACAAAATTACAGATAAATCTTAAATAATAACTTACCCTGTATCACCTAAGCCATGGAAGAATATTAGCTAGAACACAATAATTATTTCTATTTATTATAGAAAATTAATTGAAAAAAAAAAAAATAATGCGATAAGAAAAGAGAGATAGAATATTAGTAATATAAATAAAAATAAAAGAAATAATATACTATATCTCGATTATTTGTTTTGATAATAAATGACACAACTAATAAAGTGTAAAAATAATATTTAGATAATAAAACATATCGATAATGGAAAATGAATAGACGTTCAAATACTAAATCATCGGATACTAAAGATTTCATTACATATACATATATATATTTATATATACATATATGATTGATAATTACCGTTGCTGTATGTCTGGTAGCAGCAGAAATTATCACTGGGCTTGACATTATATTTTCTTTGATTTTCTAAGTAATATAGAAAGTAAGAAACAACTTCTATATTAATTCAATAAAAATCGTAAACAGAGAATAGAACAATAGACGTTAATCCTTTCAACTGACTGCAGAGTTGGTTAATATCCCCTATATATATACTATGTGTAATTGCAGGTCATTGGTCGAATTCATCTAGAATGCAACATACAACAAAATGTATGAAAACCACTGACTATGATAAATTGTAACTATTATGTAATATAATTATATTTTAAATTTTTAAGAAAATGGAATAGCATAATTGTATAGACTTAAGATTTAAGCTATTTAATTCATTATCTCCTATCATCTTTTATTTATAAATAAATCTTTTTTTTTGTGCTACAAATTGAAATAAATTTAATAGATTTTTCAATGAGAATATTGCTTATTGACTTTCAATCGTAAATATTCTTAATTTATTGTACATATATACACCTCATTAAAAAAAAAACAACTCACCAAATATAAGAATATAAAAAATAACATATAAAAAAAAACAAAATAAATAACATAGAAAATTAATAAATAAAAAGTTAAGATTATATCGATGGAAATCGGACCATAGACATGAACTGACCAATCAGAAAGCGTGTACTTTGCAATGAAAGGTATTGTACAACCCTAAAGGTGCACTTATATTTTCTTAAATATGTCTTCTCATCATGAGAATCGGACTTAGGTTGCCTGGAATGCGAGCATAACGAATAACAAAGATGGTGCGTCGATGCTCGAAGCATTCGTTCCATGATCGTTCTTAGAAGAGGAGTCGTGCTGACCAGCCATATTGTTTCACCGCAGTGTTTGTTTTGGTGCAACCTAGATTTCATATTGAAAAATCGAGGAAAATTAATACGGCGCTGAGTAAATTAGACGGGTTTTAAGCGAAAATCATATTTTGGGGCGTTGTACAAGTAACGGTGATCGTGCGGTCTTTTCAATTGTTCGCTGTCAGCCGAAGGGGGGCTAATCCGGTATAATCTGGGTGTCAGTCGACGCGCACGAGAAACGGCCGAACGAAAGAAATGGCCTGCGCTACTCTAAAGAGATCCTTGGAGTTCGACCCGGTGCACAGTCATGGTCGTCCTAGCAAGCGACGAAGATGCGTCCCTATGTGCGTTTCGCCCAGTACATCGACGCAGAACAGTCCAGGATCGCAAAATCCCTCGCCCTTCGGCGAAATTACTCACAAACTAACTCCTGGTAATTACTATAGCTTACGGCCATTTTTTTTTCTACCTTACTTTACGATACGATGACAAGTACTAGGGTGGTTATAACATTTTTTCAATGTGATATAAAAAATACTATGCTTCCCTGTTATTCTATTGTATGGCCGCCACCACCACCACCACCGCTATACTACTACTAGAAAGAAGGGTGGGGGACAGGATACTTCTGAAGAACTTCTATGCGTGATCAAATTTTTTTAAGTTATCTTTCTTTCTTTTCTTTTTTTTTCTTTTTTCATTTTCGTTCGTACGTATTACTTTAAGCCATTATACTCGGTTTTCAGTAAGATAATAGACTTTTTAATGATTTTTTATTTCTTTTTTTTTTTATCTTAATCGTTCTTACTCACAGATCGAATTGATCATTTTTCAGATATGAAATTTAATAGCATTCGTAAAATATAACATAATAATTTATATATATATATATTCATACAAATAAACTTTTATATTATCTTTTCTTTATTTTTTTATTTATTTATTTTTATTTTTTTTTTTTATATAATTTCTTTTTATATATGACAGTGGCTACTGGAATTAACGCTCGTGCGCATGCGCACATATGACGGATAAGTAAAATTAACGGATTTAAAGCTTTGAATTTTATTCATTTTATTTGACAACGTATAAAATAAAAAGTTTCGTTAAATATTAAAATACGACAATCTAGTTGAACATTTAAACAAACTAGTATATATATATATATATTTATACATACAAATAAATAAATACCCACAAATGTTGTTGTAAGATTATATCACTATATATATATATATATATATACACACAAATTTATGTATGAATACTTGTCTCATTAAACATTTACTAAGCAAGTGAAAAAAAAAATGATAATGTATATTTTCTTCCAAATAGAAAAAATGGCTGCCAATATCAGAGAAGAAATTCGTAGACTGCACCGACGCAAACAATTATATTTTAATCCTCAAGTAAACAATGGAGATTCTTCAGATATGGAAAGTCCTTCCGGTCCGTCTAGCCCATCAGCATGTGCTTCAAATTCTTACACTCATAGCGGAAAAGAAAAGCCTCTTTTTACATTTAGACAGGTATACAAAAATGTATACATTATTTTATTAAATGAACAATATCTAAATATGTAATATTACGTTTCTTTTCTTTGTACTATCGTTACTATATATTACTTACATATTATTTATAATATTTATTGTTTCTGTCCATTATTAATAATTGTTTTAGGTTGGCTTGATTTGCGAGCGGATGCTTAAGGAACAAGAAACACAAATTCGAGAGGAATATGATCAGATCTTAAACATGAAGCTTTCAGAGCAGTATGATGCTTTTGTTAAATTCACCTATGATCAGATACAGAAAAGATTTGAATCTGAAGCTGCGCCAAGTTGTATGTAACAATTGTTTTTAGTATTATTTATTTTTTTCACAATTTATCTGTATATTTGATATAATGTTCAATTTCAGATCTATCCTAAAAGAAGATTGTTATTTATAAGGACACATTTCTTTGATGAATATTATGTGAGATTTACTTTTAAACTTTTTATTTAATTATTATATAAATCCTTATTACTTTTAATTTTTGTTTGTTATTTTTATTTTATTTCTCTTCTTAGAATTAAGAATTAATTATGCTGACATATGAAATTTATCATTTCTGTAATTCCTTTTATCTATCTATAATTTGATTTATAATAAAGATTCTTTATCCATTTATAGATTTGTACTGTGTGAAACAAATTTTGCTTCAAGCAATTTTGCTGAATACGCTGTGCCACCTCATTCGAAAAATTATCTTTAGACAGACCCAGTATAGTTTACTTTACAAGTAAAAAAATAAATAAAATATAAAAAAAAAAATTAATAAAAAATACAAAAACCTTGAAGAAGGAAGAAGAACATAGTAAAGTAAGTTTAGTAGACTCACACTGAATAACAACCAGACTTAAAAACAAAAATTTACAATGTATACTATTGAACTAACAATATTTGTACTGTCACACATAATTCAAGTATGGTGGTATCAGGGAACTGTATTACGAGAATGTTCTTATATAAGAGCTGATGCGGTTGAAATTAATATCTTAAACGAGGCTTGAAGTACTGTACTCAACAATAGCCCCTAGAACATTCATGTGATAGTTCTTTGTTAGTGTACAGTTATAATGCTACAGCGTCTCAAATATTTTCTTTAAGAAATGCAATAATTAATGCTTGTATACTACAAATTTGTAAATCATGTGTCATTATTGTAATATTATCCATGACTAAAGGAAATCGCTGATTCAAAGCAAAGTGTACAAGGAGAAGATTGAAATGTATTAAAATGTGTCTTTTGTTTAATTACACAAAATCGAATGAGTTTCGATAAAAATATAATTTTTTTAAATTAAATGTTAATGTTATTTTGAATTTTCTTATCTTTTTGTTTGGTATACATTTTTTTTTCTTCTTTTTGTTTTTAGTATGTACAAGAGTTCCACGTGAACAAAACATATATATTTGTTAGCATTAAGATTATCATGTAAAATTATTATGTAAAATTGTACGATTAATGGAGCATTATTAAAATGTATGAAAAGGTTGATTATTGAAATGGTTATGCGATACTATATAGCTAAAATACTATTTCAAATCAAAACATGATCTTTTCTTTAATATATGTAGTCAATTTCTTTTTACATATGCCTATATCTTTATCTAGTATAAACATTCTTTATTTGTAATAAGAGTATAACGAGCTGTAACAATGCATATATTGTCAGATCGTACAAACTATTGTGAATAATGATGACGATAATAATAACAATACGAAATAAAGATTTCTTAGTATTCTTTAAAATTTTTTTTGTTCCCTGTAAACATTTTTCTTTACACACCATCTCCTATTTTTATAATAGAACGTAATATGAAATATTAAGTCTGTTTTTGCAAAAGTTCCTTCTCATTGTTTTAAATAAAAATTTATTCATTATTCATATTATTCAAATAAATATCATGAGATAAAAATTAGAAAAACAATAGCATCATTCGCAGATATTGTTAAAATTAAAACACATTATTACGAAGCGCGTATAAAAACTATTAAAAAAAAAAAAAAAAAAAAAAGAACTATTAGCACAGAAAATATATGGGAAAAATTCTTTCACTTATGATACTAATGTATCATCATTCTTTTAACAGCAAAGCATCTGGATCACTGAATAACTGAATATGAAACAAAAGACGTAACAAAGTTTTTTTAACTAGATGTGCATTATAAATCTTATTAAGTAAATTGCATAATGAAATAATGTAATTAGTAATATGGCTTCAAGTTGTGAAGCCCCTGGCAAGGGTATATGAAGGCACCACCGAGACGTTTGGAATTGTCACTTCTGGTTGGGACACAAACCTTCACTAAGCAGCTTAAGTAGAAAAAAAGTGCCAAATGTTCCCTATCTTGTTTTTGGCTTTCGTTGTAGCCATTAAGGTATTCAAAAAGACCACGCCTAATGGTAAGTGCTATAACACTTTATATAAATGTAAAATTATATTCATTATAAACCAATTAGTTTTCAAAAAATCAAAACTGTTTACCCAAATTTATTCTTCTAATATAATGAGTATCGTACATCTATGCATTAACAGGCAAGGTCACTGTTTACCTGGGTAAGCGAGACTTCATTGATCATCTAGATCATGTGGATCCTATCGATGGCATCATTGTCGTGGAAAATGATTACCTCCAGGGACGAAAGGTTTACGGACAGGTTGGCATGATATACAGATGTATTTCCTAAAATGTTCTCATACAATATACAAAATAATTCATATAAAAATTTATTATTATTATTCAGGTAACTACAACCTACCGCTTTGGTCGAGAGGAAGATGAAGTAATGGGTGTCAAATTCAGTAAAGAACTGGTCCTCTGCAAAGATCAAATTGTTCCTTTCAAAAAGGAAAAACAGGAAACGACTGAAATTCAGGAAAGATTATTGAAACGACTTGGACCAAATGCCTATCCATTCCTCTTCCAGTTCCCTCAGAACTCTCCAAGCTCTGTTACTCTTCAACCTGGAGATGACGATCAGGGCAAACCATTGGGTGTTGATTATACTGTTAAAATTTATGTTGGTGAAAACGAAGAAGACAAGGTAATTTAAGCAAAACAAGCAAGGAATAATAGAAAGCTAAAATTTAATCAAATTCATATAGAGAAAATAACAGAAAAATATTAATTTTGTTTCTAGGGCCATAAGAGATCATCCGTAGCATTGACTATTAAGAAATTACAATATGCACCACCAACACGAGGACGCAGACTTCCAAGCTCTCTTGTATCGAAAGGATTTACTTTCTCTCAGGGCAAACTTAATTTAGAAGTAACACTTGACAAAGAAATTTATTATCACGGAGAAAAGGTGGCAGCTAATGTTATCATTACAAATAATTCTAGAAAAGCAGTGAAAAATATTAAGGTATATTATATTGATGAATATAAACATGTTCAAAATATTTCATTTATCAAGAGATTTAACTAAATACAATATTGTAACTGCAGCTCTTTGTGGTACAACACTGCGAAGTTACTATGGTCAATGCTCAATTTTCACGACATGTTGCTAGCTTGGAAACTCGTGAAGGTTGCCCAATAACTCCTGGTGCATCTTTCACAAAACAATTCTATCTTGTACCCTTGGCTAGCAGCAACAAAGATCGCCGTGGTATTGCTCTTGATGGACACCTTAAGGTACTACAAATATAATAAATGTTATAAAATTGTATTCTTCATTGAAACGATTTACTGAACTCTAATTTTCATATATCATAGGATGATGATGTAAATCTTGCATCTTCAACCATGGTGCAAGAAGGTAAATGCCCTGCGGAAGCAATGGGTATTGTTATTTCTTACTCTGTTAGAGTCAAATTAAACTGCGGCACTTTGGGAGGTGAACTGATTACGGATGTTCCATTTAAATTAATGCATCCTGCTCCTGGTAAGAAAATAGATTTTATTTATAATCTTAAATATATGAATCATCAAATGTACTATTATTGTTTGCTATCATAGGATCTGTTGAAAAAGAAAAGGCCATGATGAAAAAGAGCAAGAGCATTGATAGGGCTCGCTATGAAAATTCTTGCTATGCAAACGATGACGATGATAATATTGTTTTTGAAGACTTCGCACGCCTACGCTTGAATGAACCTGAATAAAATACCTATATATATATGTATGTATATATATACCACATTCGTCAAGAGAATCTTCAATTTTTCAGTAATATAATAGCATGTATTATAGAAGGTAAAACGGAAATAATTATGTATTAATATCTGAAAAATATGGGATTCTTTTGACGAAAGAAGTGGGTAACCTATAATGAAAAAACTAGGCAATCAATAAGGTAAATTGTTAAATATAAAAATATTAAATTGTGATCAATCAATTATTTTATTAAATACATATAATTATTATATGCATATTATGGAACGCTAATAGAAGAAAAAAAAAATAAAAATAAATAAAAAAAAACGTAAACTACAATATAAAAATAAACTCATATCGTCAAGCAATTTTCGTGCGATTGTGGTGGTCGCACGAAAATTCATTCAATTGACGGCCAAAAAAAGCGAGCTTAATAACGATAATAATTTATATCTAATTATATTAAAAACTACCCCGTCTTACCAGAAGTGACATGTATGTTATTAATCATAATTTATTATTATGCTGTATATCAATATGTTTCTTTAATACTAATGAATATTAACTTCATAATATTGTTCAGTTATTATTACTGTACATTAGAATGAAAATAAATAAAATATAAAAATATATATTAATTGTTATAAATGATTACCTTTTTGAAATTATCTAAATGAAAATCTTACACATAATAAACATATGAAAATACACATACGAATAAAACATAAACCTATACAAACACAATAATATTTATAAATATATATATACACATATAAATAAACAATATCACTTTTAAATTACTTTCACCGGAGATACGAAAAATTAATCACTGCATTTATTGCAACTAAATGTACGAATAATTATAACACACTTAACCTAAATTATAAAATTCATATTATAATATATATAAATAATTGTGATATAAAATATATATTATAAACATAATATATATATTTTCAATTATTTGACGTATGTCACTGTCATAATTATCAGCACAAATATTAAACCACGTGGAACACTTGTTAATCTAGTTGTATTGTATCAGTGTGATAAATTACTATAAATGATAGTAGAATTAAGATAAACGAAAAGAGTGGTGAAAGAAGTAGGAGGGGATAAATAATAGTTACGGCGCGTGTTGTTGCGGTGGCAGCACTTGCGTTACGCGTGCGTCGATTTTTGATGTATAATTTGAAACTTCGTTCTCTCGTATCTAAAGATATTTAAAAGTTTTCGAACAGATGAATCGAAAGTCGAATTATTTAATTTTATCATTGAAATTAATCAATTACTTGAGTTTTACAAATGTTTCGCAAAAGTGCTGGTGAAGGATGAATTATTTGAACAGTATAGGAGGCAGCAGTACTAGTGCTGATTCTGGCCTCCAATTGAACAATGTCGAAGTGTTGTATACTAAAGTGCAAAAGGTTTATATAAAACCTCAACATAAAGAAGAAAGACAACGTGATCTTAGGGTGAACGTTGAAACTCATGCTGGGCTTAGTCCTGTTTGTCGTAAGGTATCATTTATTTTCTACAAATAACCTTTTTACGATATGTCAAAATTCTCACAGATTTCACTTATTAAATATTAATATTTAATACATTCCTCAACATTAACATGTTTTCATATAGATCAACTTGTTATTAAACTATTATTATTATATAAATCATAAAAATAATTGAGAGAGAAAGTCTTAAAAATGTTATCAAATGCATCATTTTATTTCAGAGTTTATGTGTTTTATTGTCAGACGATGATGATCCTTGCTTTTTATATTCTTTGTTTATTGCCGAGGAAGATTTTAAAGTGCTGAAAGCTCAACAAGGTTTATTAGTCGATTTTGACAATTTTGCAACGCAATTAATATGTTTATTAGAACAATGCAATGTACCTGGTACCAATGTGTCAAAAACACCACCCAAATTTCTTTTGCTATTAGCAGAAGAAAATGGAGAATGGACATTAAAACTGGTTGAAACTAATAATTTTAAACATCTATGCCATTTGAGTTTAATCATATCTCCTGCTAATGATTTCGATTTAAGAACTCATATGGCTATGAAAATAAAACAATTAAAAGAAAATGTTTTACAGAAAAATAGAGATGTAGTTGGTTTAGAAACCCGATTGAATGACTTGACTATTAAATTTGAATCTAAGACTAAGGAATTAGATCAATTAGAACAAAGATATTTAGCTGAAAAAAGTCAAATTCAAATTAATTCTTCACAGCAAATAAGTATTGAAAAGGATAGGTAGATATATTTAATTATCATATGATTTTCATGCTTTCTATTTTATATATACATTATATACTGTTTTTATAAATTGTATATTATATATAATTTGTATAATAGATTTGCTCAAGCAAGACTGGAATGGCAACGACAAAGTGATAAAGACAAAATGGAATTAGAACATAGACATACAGAAACCATAAAACAATTACATACCGAACTTGCTGAATTGCGTACACAAAATATGAGTTATAAAGATAAATTGTCATATCTTGAAGCCACTAATAAAGAACAAAGTAAACAATTGCAGAATATTGAAAAGGAATTAAATCTTGCCCAAAAAGAATTAGCTCTTTTAAAGAAACAAAATTCAAAATTAGATATAGACTTTCACGAAAAAGATAAAGCTGTTAATAGTTTACGTACGAAGGTAGCTGTACTTGAACAAGAATTAAAAGATAAAGGTGTAATTATTAACAAACATATGGAAATGTTAAAAACAGCAAAAGAACAAAAACAACAATTAGAGGAACTTTTGGCTGATAAGGAAGGCCAATTACAACGCAAACAAAATTCTTTGAGAAGTTTAAGCGATGAATTAGTAAAAGCTAATGAAATATTAACAAAATTACAAAATGAATTAGCTTCTACTAAATCTAAATTAAAATTAAGAACAAGTATAGCATTGGAACAAGAAAGATTATTAGATAATAAACAAAAGGAAGTTGGTCAATTGGAAAGCAGAATGGAAATTGTAAATAAAGATATTAAAGAGGCAAAAGTAGAAATAGAACATTTAAAAGAACAAACAAAAATATTGCAAAATCAATTGGAAGAAAAAGACAAAATAATCAAAAATAATGATAATGGTAAATGTAGTAACTTTCTTCATTTTTATAAATATAATATTCTGCAATAATTCATTATCATTATTTCATTAAATCTGTATATATTTGATTACAGTAATCAATTGGTTGAATCGTCGTTTAGCTGACAATCAATCACCACTTCAGAGCACTACTACTCCAGCTCCAGTTACTATTCCATCATCAGTACAGTTAACTTTACCAAGATCAAACAAATTATATGCAAATAGATTTGAAACAAGAACACCTGCACCTGGAACTATAGCACCTAATACATTATCAGGGTTGCCGTTAAAAAATCCAATAGTTCAAAATCCAAATATTAATCAAACTACTCGTACAACCGCCAGATCCATGGGAGTAGGAGATAGTACAATGGGTTTGTCTTCTATTAACAAGACTGGACAAATTTCTAGTACCAGTACACCGATGGATCGTATTAATACTCTAAATAAATTACCAGGGAATATGCCAGGTATGTCATCTGTGCCAGCTATTGTAGAAAGTAATAATCCATGCATATCTTCTAATGGAACCAAAACAAAAGGTTCAAATGTAGCATTACAAGGTGGGTTAAGAAGAGCTGGTCTGTCGGACAAACAAATTTTGCCTTCAGCTTATTTCCCTAAAACTTCACATTGACAAAGTTGTCGGTCACATTATGACAAAAAATATAGTATAATTAAATAATATAATATATGTAAAAAAAAAAAAAATGTTATCTAACAAAGTATTTTTTTTTAAATCAAAATATTTAGCTAATTAATATAACAATAATGCTGCCATAAGCGTTGAATCAAAATTATAAATTAAACAACGAATGTGGTAGTATTTTAAATTTATTATTAAGTGAAAAAGTACAAATGTACAAATAAGGTATGATCAAGATAAGTATTATTACAGGACGTTTTTTAAAAACGAGAATTTAATACTTATTAGTATCATAACCATATAAATAGAAAATTTTATACAGTTTGACCATGAAAATTGCACAGAACAAACACATATATATATATGCATAGTTAAGATAGTATAATGTTCGATCTCTCTCTCATATTATAAACATATTTACAACTACGTATCTATACCTGAAAAAAAAGTTTTATATAGTACCTTCCGCTTCTCAGTTTTTACTGAGACAGCAGGTCATATGTACCTGTATCCAAGCATGGATTGAAAATTGGTACTTTTGGTGCGTAAACGAGTTTTAAATTTAGACAATGACTTTAAATAATATTTATAAAATGTTTTTCTTAATATATGCCCTGAAGTATCAATTTTAAGCAGTAACTGAAAATAAGGTTTATAATAAAACCTACAATGTGCGTGCGTCATGTTAATCACATTTTTATATGTTAGAAAAAATTATAATGATCACGTATTAATAGATATCTAACAAAGGCATAATTTAATAATATATACATCCAATTAAGACTGTAATTACTATGATAAAGTAATTAGATCTATATTACATTCATCAATTACATATAAATTAAATATTAAGAACTAATGTGTGCCTTATATACAAGATAGACTGGAAAAATTCGTTACATTCAAACTTTTTAGAAGGTTTTTCTACAAAAAATGTTTTAATATATTAGGGCAATAACTAATTAAATACTACGTATGAATCTCTACTGAACAAATATTTGTACATGCGATGCAATGGATTGTTTCTAGTCTACCAGGTATTTCAATTTTTATGACTTATTATTTGCACAGTAGTAAATCAAAATATAAATTTAAAATAATTATAGTCCATGTATTAATTTTTTTAAAATAGAATTTCGATAAAAATAAGAATATGAAGAGCTTAAACATGCCAATTTATTAAAATACACTGACAAACAGTATTAAATGTAATAGATAATGAATAAGTCTCTAAATTTCATGTATTTTAATACTTTTTGTATATAAAATTCCAATAAAAAATAATGTTATATATAGAAATATTTGGCTGATAATGCAATTATCAATTTTATTTTATAAAAACTTTTTTCTTCAATTATAATCAATTATAATTGTTCTAAAATATAAACAGAGATTTCTAAATACAATAAAAGTACTTCAACGTGTTAAAAGTATTTTATAATTATCAATAACTATGCCTCACATAATGGGCAATTATTTTATTGTACAATATACATTCAAATTAATAAATATTCACATAATTATTAATACATATTAAGAATCATCAAAAAATATATAGTCTAAAATAATAAATTTTCTGTGATTTTTATATATGAACTTTATGAATATTTATAAGATCATTTATTCAATAAGCTTGGGGCTTAGTTAGACAGACATTTGCTTAATTGCTTTTTTTTTTTTTACAGTGTACCAGTACACATGAGTGACTACTAAAATAATAACTAACAATACTGTACACATGAAAAAAAATAATTTATATAAATCTCATAAAATCAAATATGCTTTATCAAGATAATATAATATTAGTCGATATTATTCTCAGTCGTTAATTTAGATTCGGGTGGTAATTCTGTACATTCCATGTCCAAAAGAGGAAGATCCATTCTTTTACGTCGACGTTCGCATTTTGGACATGGTTTGTATGCATTTAAGCAATCTGCATGAAACACTGCATTGCATAATCCACACTGAAATAATTTCATGTTTATAATATAGATCTGACATTTTTCATGAAACAATCAGTGAAATTGATATACTTACTCTAAACGTTGTATCCATATCGAAGGGATAAATAACTTTAGGATTATTACACACTTCACAAATAAATCCTTTTTGACTACAAAGCCAACAATTGATCACATGATTTCGTGCAAATTCAACTACTTTTTGTAATTGTTGAGCTAGAGTACCATTGGGTATATCAAGAAGATCAGAAACAGAATACTGATGAACATGTTCATATAAATAATCTCTGGGAGCAACTTTTCTTTGCAATGATTCAATAACAGGCTCACGGCAAGTAAACAAATATGCTCTCAATAAATTCAATTGTATTCTTAAAGATTGTAATTGTGCCATAACATCCACTGCCATATATATTTTTGGATTCAAAGTTTTTAAATCCAATAATGTGGAACAATCTTTCAGGTACTCTGCAGCTTTTTGACAAATGGTATAACGTTTTAAATCCCAATTATGAACAATACGTGATGGTATTAAATATTCCCCTTGTGCCATACAATCTGCACAATAATAATTGGCAGAAAAAGAGCAAACATGAGCTTTTGAAAATGTCATACCAATAGCATGGTCACAATTGAAACAACTGTAATTTTGCATGTCAAGGCCCTTTTCTCTTGGTAATTTTCCTAATTGTTCATCAAAATTTATAACAATCTGTAAATAAATTGTAATATAATATTATATATAATTTGATAATGTGTAATATATAAGTAATAACATTATTACGTTTATACCTTAGTTACAGTTGGAGATTTAACTTCTTCATCGATGGATTCTTTTTTTGGATATTTTTTTAAAAATTCTTGTAAATTCGGTACTATCACATTACCACTAGTATGATAGCTTTGAATAAGAGCATCATAGGTTGGTCCATCACCCGGAGTACGAGGAGCATCTATTCCAGAACCATGAGATATCACAGATGAGGTCATAGAAGATTCACAATCTTCAAATGAAGTTGACCATCCTAATCTTCCAAATAATGAATTTCCTACAGTAGTAGACATATTATCGGTACCAGCGTTATTATTTTCTTGAGGGCTATTACTTTGATGATCATCTTGAATAACTGAGGTATCATTGATGTCAGTAGTCATAGTTTCTACATCCTTTTTAGGCGTCCCACTAGTTGATACACTTTTTGTAACTTCATTAGTAGTTTCTTCTTTTTTTTCTGCATTCACTTTCTCTATCTTTTTTTGTTTAGGTGTATGTGTTGGACTTCCATTTCTATACTGTGTAGTATGATGATTATTAGAGATTTTATCTTTTAAAATGATTTTTAAAGCTTCATCTTCCGAAATGCCAACTAAATTATTTAAAGCAGATTGCGAAGAATTAAAGGAACCTAAACTACCTATAGAACTTGCAGTTTCTACTTCTTCAAGATTGTCATTATCAGTCAAATCCGTAGTTATGGTTTTTGCTATATCTACTGCATTAAACACAGGACAAGATTTCATAGGAGGTGACCATATACCAGCTAAAAGCAGAGGAGTACTTGACCAAAAATTCAAGAGACTACTATTGCAAGCCACTTCAAAGTTTATATAATCCAAGCTTTCTACCAAACGTTGAGCAACATCTATTAGATCAGAATCTCTGATGAAGGCAGAACGATCATAATATGGTTTTAAAGCAGAATTATCTCTTCTTATAGAACACAAATAACTTGATAATAGACCTTCGTTTAAGGCCAGTCGTATCCATGCTCTGCAATAACCCACTTCAGTGGAAACTTGAGTCAATGCTTGGATTTGATCAATAATTTGGCGATGTGAGAATACTAGTAATGGGCCCCAGAAACTTGGTTGAGGCATAGCGTCAAAATCAGGCCCACTGAGAACTTCGGTCACTCTATTCAAAAGACTGTCCTTTAGTCCGTGTAAAAATATAGCTTCCAATACGTAGCATAATGTCATTGCTTCTTCGCAATTTCCAACTGGTTCTCCTTCTGCGACACCTGGTGCACTTTGCATCTCCATCACGCTTGTATTTAATTGTTTTTGAAGGGATTCTCTCACTAATATATTTCTTCTGTTTGTTAGGGATTTGACTGATTTTAGAAGAGAATTCATTTTGAATAATATCTCTTGTCACCGATATTTTAATGAAACTTGTATTATTCCATTGGTACATTTTTGTTACTCGATGATAAGAAATAATCGAGTTATTTAAATCGATAGAGATAATATCTTTATATCAATTTCATCGAAAAAGAATCATCCGAATTTAAATGATGTAAATTATATTCACATAATTCGAGCATCGTACTTTCACTAATGAAAAAACAAGGAAGTGACCTCAAAACAAATGCAATCATTATGTGATAAGTATGGAACGTGAACTTCGAACCAGTTAACGTAATACATAACAATGTTATCTCTGTTTCTTCCACCCTTCCCTTTGATGATGTGCGTAATAAATATAGGTTAGGTACAATAATGGTAAAACATATCACAAACAGTACAACGTGCGATAAAAGTTCGATGAATTTAACGATCGTCGTTCATGTATTTTAATAAATACAAGAACGATAGATACTTTTCAAGATTCCACGAGTATTAATTCTTTTTTATCTTCAAATATGCCTCTCTCGAACTTAATCCAGTCTGTTCGAAGTAATAGCAAGGTCTGTAATGTTAGGACAACGCAACGTCATCGCTTTCTATGCAGAAACACTGTAACAAGGACAAAACTTTTTCCCCTTCTCTTCTTTTTCTACTACACCTTCTATTATTCATTGTCAATAGTTTCTATGACAAGCGATAGATAGCGCTGGTAGTAATCTCAATGCTTTGTTCCTTTTACTACAAAGTCAGGTGCACTTTTGCAATACATCGTTGCACCTGGCATTCGTTCTCTTTTATCTTAAAAATTTTCTTAAATAACGCCTGCCACGAATAGATTTATATAAATATATTCAATATATTCCGAATTTTGTAATTAGCTATATTTCATTGGATCTATGCAAAAATTTCAAGTAAATAAATCTTCGTTATGTAACTTTTTACTATCGTCATTTTTTTTTTAGGAAGAATGATTTTAAATTATAATTCACCTGTAAGTTTTTGCATACCTGAAATATAAATAATGATTTACATTTGATTTATTCCATTTATTTCAATTGATAATTTCAGCTATTTTGTATTCAAGTTTATGTCATAGTATAAAATCGATCTTCGATAATATTGGATTCGAAAAAGGGAAGTAAAAAAGAATCAACAAGAACGATATAGTTGAAACTGGATCTTCGATGAACGGAGGTATATATAATCGTACAAATAAAAAGAAAACAAAAGGATGACCGCATCCGGACAGCGACAAGTACACGAGGAAGTTTATTTCGTTTTTGTACTTTTTTTTTCTAATGAAAAGAACAGGGAGAGACGAAAAGGAAAGCAAATCAAATCTCGAGGAGCAAAGCTAGAAGTTGTTAGAAGTTGTTCATTTCTATGTGTATCTTTACTATATTTAGACGAGTAGTTAAAGCGTATTTGAAACGTTGAAAACAGGTATACACACGGTGTATGTGTGTGAACGACCGAAGGAACGACGAGATGATGCGCGTTTTGCGGCTTTCATGGCGGTGCTGTTCGCTGAACGAACGAGAGAAGAAACGAGAAAGTACAACAAGAAGGAACAGGATAGAAAGAGGATGGTAAATCGGATACGAGAGGACAACACGAAGGGAATAGTCAATGCAGTGCCGTACGAGAGATTAGGTATACCCTTTTGGCGTGAATTTGATAAGTGAACGCTTTCGAGAAATATTTTAAACGATTGTATGATTAATTATGTTCAAATGTTTTTAGAATAGGCTTAATTCATAATAGGCAATTGTATATAACGACAGATAGTTGTTAATTATATAGATTTTTATCAATCGGTTGCTCGATCAGTTCGTTCAATGGAAACTTTGATTTCATTGATCGATGTAACCTTCACCCAGTTGGCAAGCGCTTTAACGATTGATCACTGGTACATACGATCGTATCTCTTCTACAGGTTTATTCGAGTTTTTTCTTTTAAATAAAAATTGGTTGACGAGCGAAACACCCACGAAAAAAGAATGTACGAAGAGGATTTCGATTGAGTGCTTAAAATGGGTTTCGGAAATGTGCACGTGCATTGAAGCATCCGATTTCGAAAGAGGATAGATTAACCAGATGTTCGATATGTCCAAGTCAATGTGTTTGAAATCGGATCGCGCGAAAGAATGTTTTTGAAACATGACGGAGATTGACCCTTTGAATTTTTTAAAAAAGAAACGAACTGGAAGAAAAATAATAAGAATAACGAAGAAAAGAAAAAGAGGAGATACGAAACGAAGGGAGGTTTTTGAGATCAAAACGTTCGTGAGAAAAGGTTACTCAGATTCTTCCCCCATTTCGCACAGTGAGTGCATACACGCGAGGTAAACCTTTGCATTTTCTTTGCGCGTGATATTATGAACAATGCACTTTCTCACGATAATCACCTCATAGATTTGCCGTTTAGCGTTTTACCACGCTACAGAAGGCACATACGCGCAAACTATCCACCACGTCCCTCTCGTCGACCTTGTTTCCTGCCACTACACCATTATTGTATAAAAGACACTTTTGTTATCCCCCATACAACGATGAATAGCACCCAATTGCATTTTCTTCGAATGTGTTTCTATCCGATTCCTTTTACTTTTTATAGTATAATGACTTAGGTATAAAAAGAATGTTATGAATCATTCTCACTTTCACTGCTATATCAATGACAAAATTCATTAGAAATGATACAGACATATTAATAGTACATAAGATCTAATGATTGTTATCAATTGTATTTTTAAATGAAAGGTACAATGAAAAAGATAGAAGAGAGTCTAAGGTTCATCGTATCAGCATACAGTCCTGCGCGAGGAGTGGGGGTAACGTGCACAGTGACAGAGTGGGGGTTCGAGGGTGCCGCTCGGCACGAACGGTGCACGTTCGAGTAGTGTCAGTAGGGACGTGCGTCGGGGTAGTCTATGTCAATTTTCGTTCTCTTCCCAGTCATTCTTTGCTAATCTCTTTCTTCTTTTCCCTCTTGTTAATTGGATCGATCGCGTGTGCACTATACTTCGATCTTCGATGATGAGAGAAAAATAAAGGGAAGAGAAAGGAGTGTGTATTAATTTTCGTTGTTGTCTAGGGCAGACAAAACAGACGTTCGATGATACATCGTGTCTCTTCGGCGCACTGCTTGACAACGACGAGACGACGACGGCGGCAAGAAGCGCCCTTTATCGAGCGATCTCTCTTCTCTCGTGTGCACGTGTCCTGAAATAAGGAAAAAAGGAGAAACAAGTCGAGAGAGGAAAGAAAAATAAGTCCTGACAAAAAAAAATAAAAAAAAAATAATAATAATAAAAAGAGAAAAAGGATTTCGAATGTAGATAATATAGAAAGGGCTGGAAGGGTTTCGTATAAGATGCCAGCGGTTCTCGAGGCGAGTAAACGTTCAGGGTTTGAGGCGGATAAGGAAGGAAGTGCAGGAGAAGGATTACAAGAGGAAAAGAGGCAACAGGAGCAGAACCACCACCGAGGCCATCGGCCTTCGGGGTGCACCACCTCTTCTTCTTAATGCTACGGTGTGTCTGCGAACGAAGCAACGTGCACGTATATACATAAACCTATGATCATCAATTTGTCTCGCTTCGTTCTTGTCTTTAACTAATTGCGTAAGGGCATCGGTGAGGATATACGAGAATTTTACAAGTTGATAAATAGAAGAACCCCTTGCAAGCGTCAACGAGATCGAACACAATTTACTTGCTTCATTTACACTTCCTTCATTTACACTTCCTTCATCTCGATCGTGTTTAAACTTTGGTAGTACCGATAGTTAAAAGTATTCTAGTATCTCTCATCTTTCTCATCATCGTTGATACGATCCTAAATAGCAACAGATTGCTTATTGTTATTGTTCTTCTTGTTATTGTTATTGTTATGAAAGAGAAAGAAAGAAATATGCCAGCATTACCGAGTACGATTGAATCGCGACACGTTGACGACATGACGCCACCTTCGATGATTGCCTCCTCGTCACCGTCTTCCTCAGCATCCTCATCTTCGGCATCGTCCTCGACGTCATCACCACCTACACCAAGAATGACAAGTCCTCCGATTGTTTCCACGAATACCTGTTATCTCCCGGAATCAAGATTGATCTCTAGATCGATCAATTCTACCAGATATCCAGAAGAAATTGAAGAAACCGCGAGAAGTAACTCAGGATCGACAGGTAGCAGTGGTAGTAGTAAATCTACCGATGCTAGACCAAGGCAAAGTCTATCAAAAAGTTCCGCTTCTTTGCGGAGTCTCGTTCGAAGAAAGAGTCGACGACAAACTGGTGGTGGTGGTGGCAATGTAACTGGTGGATCATCATCTATTATCGAGTCCAATAATGATTCTCGACAATCTCGTAATCAAGGTTCTGAAGACGGTGGTCTGCATCGAAGACGAGAAAGTACAGGAGGAGAAGAGGAGACAACAACGATGTATACAAATGGAAAATCATCTACTCGACGAGCACCTTCCGTAGTTAGAGGAACAACGGTAACAGGAATAATTGGAGAACAGGACAATAATAATATTGGACAAGATGCATCCTCGTCTATAAGCAACGTTGTCTTTGTTGCTCCAACTGTGGTCTCAAACACCAACAGGTTCATTCGAACGACCTCTTCGTCTCTCGTACGTGCAATCAGTACACCTGGAGCATCTACTTCAAACACGACCTCGCACTGGAACAACTCGAACGAACAGGAGTCCGACTACGTCGTCGATCCTGTTCAAGGGAAGGCATACTACAAGGGACAATTTCTTGGAAGAGTAAGTAACTTCCTTTTAATCTATATACTACACCTTTCTCTTGATCGTCTAACACTGTGTGCGCTCGCGCGCTCGATCTTTACCTAGCAGCAAGCACCTGCCTCTTCCTCGATCCTTCTTCCCTTCTTTTTTCTTTTTTTCTCTTTTTTTCTCCTTTTTTCTCTTCCGTGATATTTTTTTCTTTGCTTTTTCGTTCTTTCTCATTGATTCACGCTCATGTACTCATTTCCAAGATACCGTTTTAGCGAGAATCATTAGTTTACATCTACTTGAAACGTGGGAATACACGAGTACCATGTCGTTTACTTAATTTTGGTATTGTCTTTTTCTTACGAACGGTTCATATTTATTAAATAAATTCATCAAAAGAAAATTTTAATTTGATAATAGCTTTAAGAAATAAAGTAGGTACTCATCCTTGTTTTCTCGCGTGTCCTGTTTTTTATTTTTATTTTTTTTTTTTGATAATTATCAACGAAGTCAAAATTGTAGTCATAATGATAGATGTCAAACGCGTTTGATAAATGAAATATCATCACTGTTGCAGTGAATAAGGATTGTCATAGATCGTAAGAGATGCAGTATAAAAGTTTGTAGGTCGTGATTCACACGGTACTCGTTTTGACGTACTAAGAATTTTAATGGCGTCCGTTCGCGGAAGTTAATGCCATGGTGACATCGCAGATTATTTCTTAGAAAAAAAAAAGAAAAAAAGGATAGATGTGTGGGCAGAGGAAGTCATACGAGTCATCCGGATCAGAGAAAAGGGTGTCGTGGATAAAAGAACAGCATCCTTTAAAGTTATCAACGATTTAATTTTGGTTTCTAATATCTCAAAGATTTATCATTTAATTAATATTTGATTTTGTTTACGAAGATTTATGGTTTTCTTTGGTCATTTGATTTTTACTTGCTGAAATAAAAAATAAAGTTCTTTTGTTGTACAGAAAGAAAGAAGGGAAAGTATGACGTAAAAGAATGAACAAAAAAAAAAAAANAAAAAAAAAAAAAAAGAAAAAGAAATAAAAAATAGAAAAAAATGACAATCAGAGCAGTGTGAAAATTGCCTTGAGCGATGAGAATCCGAAATAGCATCTCGCATCTTCGCTGATGCTGTCATTAGATGGAACGTCGACTACGTCATCGTTGTTTGCTCGGGAAAGCTCAAGGCTGTGTAACATTCTACTTTACCTCTGGAAATTTTTGCAAATAATGTTATTGTATTATCTCTTTCCCATATTTTATTTATCTTTGTTTTGTTATCTCTCTAATTGAACTATCTTGAAATCTTTCTTTCGATTTCTACCTCATAAGAATCATATCTAAACTGTTACGATATGACTTTTTCTAATCATTGTTTATTGATACTATGAATTTTTACTAATAGTAGATAGTAGTTCCATTTCTTCTATTTGAAAACAGAACAAGAAAGTTTTTCTGTTATAATTCAATAAATGAGTTTAAGTTGAAAGTTTTCTTTTAAAATTTTGAATAATTTTATAGTCAAACTATTAATTTTATAGTCATATAACATATAACATATATAGTCAATTATAACAAACTAATTAATTTTATAGTCAAACTTTTGATCAAATTAATTTTGATATTAAAAATTAATTTGCTAGATATTAATTGCGTAGTTAGCTGTATTTGATTTTAATTTATTTATCTTCTATGTAGAAAATCAAAGTTCTTAGTTAAAGCTTCACTAGAGCACTTTATCAAAATTTACCTCTTTGATATTTCCGTGTTTAAGAGAATCCACCCCGACAGGAGTATACCTCTTTCTTTCTTTTTATCCGCCACACCCTCTCTCTCTCTCTCTTTCTTTCTTTTTCTTTTTTCTCACATGTATGCTCGTTATCGCTACTATTCGCGACCGGTTGCGAGTGAACGAACGAACGAACGAACGAACGTACGAGCAAACGAACGAACGAACGAACGAACGAACGAACGAACGAACGAACGAACGAACGAACGTACGAGCAAACGAACGAACGAACGAACGAACGAGCGAACGAGCAAGATTTGCGGAAACTCGTTTCAGCTTTTTCGACGTACCGACTTCGGGTTAATTATTTTCTCTTATGCGCTTTGTACCGTTATCGTATACTGCATCGGTTGTGGTATCGTTGTATATTTTTGTGAGTAATCGAATGACATCATCTCGTATCGAACATTACTATTTATTATAGTAATATATGTATATTTGAAGATTTATTCGATCAAATAATTGCTGTGTGATTAAATTATTATTTCATTTGATTTTCATTATATTCTTATTATGTATATATATATAGATATATATTTTATTTATATTATATAATTATATTATAAATATATCTATAAAATAATAATTATTTTATTAAATATTAATTATATCGATATAATAGTAGATATATTTATTTTTATTTTCTTTATACGTTCAACGTCTGTTAATACTTTCTTATGTATGTAACATATATACATATATAAATATAAATATAAATATAAATATAGTTATATTCCTAATCGGTATGCACGAGTCTCAGCATATACACGTGCACACATATGTGCAAGTCAATGACATCGTGTGCCTTTCACCAACTGGTCCGTATCATCCGTGTGCGTGCAAATGCGTGTGTATTTGTGGTAACCGTGAGGAGGATAAGTTCAACGGATGGGGCCCTCTTCCTCTTTATACCCTTCCCTCCCTTTTTTTCTCCCTTCTTCTTCGTTCACTCCATTTCTTTTTCATCGTTGAGGTAGAGAACGTTCGTTTTACGTTGCAAAGGATAATCCTCGATGCTTTCCTTTATTTACAAATTGTGAATATGATAGATCAAGGAATAAAATGTTTTATGTCAGGTTTTTTAAACATCAAAACACTTGTTTACACTAGATTTGTAATGTTACAATTAGAATAGAAAAGTTACTAAAGATTATTTAATAATTATTAGATCACACCTTAAATTCTGTAATAATTTAGTCAGGTATGTGAAACGATCCTTTACAAATGAAACAATAACGATAAACGTTCTCTTTTATTTAAAATAAAAAAAAAAAAAATAAAAAAAAAACGATTGAGAAAGGTAAAAGCGTTAAAACGTATTATGTTAAATCATATGGTGGAACGAGCCAAGCCAATTAGAGTTACACGCTCGTTTTCCATCCGTAACAATTCTTATGTCTTCTTACGTCCGTGAAATGAAGACGATTTAAACATAGAAAAAGAGGAAAAAATAAATCGATTAGCAGTCGACAGAGAAGAAGATGGCAGTCGAGTTTTCTATTCACTGTAGTAGAATATTGACTTATTTAGCAAGGATAAGTGGAAAGTTTATACGAAAGGTCAGGGTCTATTAGTAAAAAGGAAGTTTTATTGAGAACAAATACTAAATTAACATTTCCTCATTTAGAACAATTATTTTCTTCGATTTATCGATTATCAATGATAAAAATAAAATCCTTCTTGAATAAATTCTGACGTCTTTTTTATGTTTAATATTTCATATCTTTTCAACTTCATCAAGATTGGGTTTTCTTTTCTTTACTCGAACTATTATATTGATATTTATATATATTAATGGATTATTTATAAATTAATATTATAAATATATTTATAAATAAATATTATAACTATCTTATTATTAATATATTATTATTAATAATAAATAAATATTATAACTATTTTATATATCGAACGTTCATATTTTTTTTTTAGCAACAATAATACATAATAACGATTGATTATATTTTATTAATTATTTTTTTGATCAAAAAAGATATTTCATTTATTTATTTATTTATTTATTTTGGTAAAAATCACTGGAAAGTTTTCTTTACTTTTCTTTTTCATGACAAGTTGTCACGAATCATTTCATCTTAACCTTCTGATCGTTGACGTATGAGTGAACTTTAAAAATGGTACATCAGACATTTCGAAGAAAAGAAATTCAACTGTGACCGGTTTCAATGTTATACCGTGAACGGAGGTGTCATTCATTTCAATTCCAATGAAATAATTTCGTTTTCGCAAGTGCCATTCACTTTTTACCAATGACTTCAAAATAATAAGTATGAAAATAAAGGCACGATATTGGAGAATGAACGGTTAATTGTTTCGTAAATCATTTTAACTCTTTTACAATTATTCTAAATAATATATAACGCATAGAAAAAAAGAACGAGATCGTTTATATACATTTTTTGTATTCATTTATATTTTATTGTTTACGTTTGAGATTATATTTTTGGCGCGTTAGAGAGAGAGAGAAAAAGTGAATTTTGACGATGCGCGCGCACAGCGACACGAAAAAACAATTTAACAGGATGAAGTTGATCGATATTTATTCGATATATTCGATATATCTCTCGTATTTCATATATTTGTATACAAACACCTGTTCTATATCGAAAAATTATTTCAATGTGTTTTTAATTATTACATGGAATGGTGATTGTTATTAAATAACTGTTAATATCTTCAAAAACATTGATTGTTTGCGAATATGTGTACTAAAAATTGTTTTTATTTTCTTTTCTTTTTTCATGTCACTTGTTAGATTAAATGTCATACGTATTTAAAGATCTTTTATTTGTTTGAATGTCTTTAACTTAGAGGTATCCTTTGTCCAGCAGCCACCGAATGGTATTTTACTCGCAATGCACATTCTACGGGTTTGCATATCTACCTTACTATACTGTGTGTCTATCGATTCTTTCCATTTCACGGTTATAACTTTAACACGCTCCGATGCATTCGAATCTCTCCTGATTTCACATATACATATAACATATATATCGTGGTGTTGGTTATCGTTGACTCTCATAATTACTAAACCATACTTACATTCGTCGTTTTATTTCTCTCATCGTCGTTAATCTAACTATATATATTTATCAGGCTTAAAAAAAAAAAAGTAATTTATCGACTTACTTATATAATAATTCTTAAGCGTATTTTATATTTTATAAAACTCTACTATAAATTTAATAGTCTATCTAAAAATAAAAAATACAATGTATTCCTATATTAGGATTATGGTCAAATAGTTTCACCTTTATTTCATTTGACAAACTTGAAATATCATATAATCCTGACCTTTGACACTTGTGCTCGTGTTATTGAGAAATTGTTCCGCTATTATAAAACGACATAAATGATAAATCACTTTTTAAAGCTTTTAACCTTCTATATATCCTGAATTTTTGTCAAGCCTGTAAAAGGAGTTATATCATTTAAAATCAAATATCTATCTCTAAAATATAAGATAACATTGAATTCAAAATTCAATTAAATAATTCAATGATTATAAATTAAAATTAATAATCTTTATAAAGAATCATTTTTGTTGATCATCAAATCAAGATTATAGAACAATATGTGTGTCATATTGGGTTGAGGGGGGAAATTAATTAAATTAAACATACAAAGTTTCAGATATATGTAAATATATATATCTGTATTTAAATTAATACTCACGCGAGATTATAGAGAGTTAACTTTCTTATTCATATTTCAAAGAAAATGATTAATATTTAAAATAATGTTTTACGTTTTATTATTAGGCGATAAACATCGTATCATTTTAATAATTCAACACGTTATTTATATATATATATATACTAAACTTATATGTATACTATAATCGCATACGAGAGAATAGCAAATAAAAAGTATATAAGTCAAGAATAGATGAAAATAGTATGAAAACTGGCACCTATGGTTGATCATTTACCAAAAGAGTATTTAAAAATACATCTGTCTGCGGTATTTTTCAAAATAAACACGCAAAAAGGTTTGACCATAATCGTACATTTAAAAAGCCGTATGGCCAATGCCAGGGGAATATTTATGATAAAGTTATTCTTGAAACATTGTCGACTAAACGTTTACCGTAAGGACGATGCTCCAAACAGGTAAAAAGGATCGAGAGCTCGACCGTTCAGACAACCTGGTCTCAGGATGATCTCATGACCGTTATGTCGGACTAGCGACGCCCATCTCTCCTCACGTTTTCTCTCTTACATACATAAGTACACATATATAAATATATACAGGATGTTTGAGGTCTTTTTTTTGTACAAACGTTGTGAGGATATTCTACGTTTAAATATCTTCTTTTACTTTTTTTTTGTTGACACCACTTTAATATGTTATTTCTGACATGATGAATTTTTATTAATTTCTGTAATTGCATCCCTAATTCGAACAACTACTACAACAGGTAAGTAACTTTAGGTGTAGAGGTATCGCAGTATTAGTTGAATAAACTTTTCAGTTTTGAATTTATTGTACAAATAAAAATCTTTCATCGAACGTACATTTTGATTGTCCAATAAAAAAGGACAATAGACGACCTGACCTAGTTCAGCTGTTTTTTCGTTCAGTTTATTATATTACATCTTTAGAAAATGAAATTCACATTCGTATTAATCGTAAATGTTATTTCCACTATTATGTCTACCTAAATCAGTTGTAAATAGAGTATCCAGACGTTATACCAGTCTTCTGATGATTTTCGTAACATCACTGGGATATTTTGAAGCGTGTCGTTTTGGCAACGAGCCCATCAAACGCGCCTGCTCGCCCTTTTCCACCTCGGCCGAGTTCCTTTTCAGCGAAGATTTAACCGAGTTACCTTGACACATGTCGTGAAGTTGAAAACCTTGAAAACAATGAAATACGAGTCCCTTATTCCTTTTTTCTTATTTTATCTTATAAAATTTATATTCATATTTCACACATTTCCTAGGCATTTTATAAAATGGTAAATTAGAAATGGGCAAGGTATGAAATACTTTAAATGATTTTTTTTTTAATATTCGTATTTTTTATTTTTTATTATCTATATATTTATTTTATATATTTTTATTTATTTATTTATTATTATTATTATTATTATATATTAGTTATTATTATTACTATATATTATATTATTATATTATTTATTATTAATATTATATATATTTTATTTTATTTATTTGTACAGAATAACATTTGTATTTGCATTTTTTATTATTTATATATATGTATATATATATATATTATTATTATTATTATTATAATTATTATTATTATTATTATTATTATTATTATTATTATTATANTATTATTATTATTATTATTATTATAATTATTATTATTATAATTATTATTATTATTATTATTATTATTATTATTATTATTTATTATTATAGTTATATTATATATTTATTTATTTATTTGTTCAAAATAATATTTGTCTTTTTAAGGAATGCACGTCGTTTATATAAGAACCCTTATCAAAACCTTTTTTCATACTTTGCCTAAATAGCATTTGTCATTCCATAGAATGTTTTAGGTATTATAAACAATGACTAGGAAAAATATGTAATAATTCTTATATTTCTAATATTACCGCGATAATATATACATATTATATATATATATACTTAAATGTATGACCAACTGTACTCATTTTATTGGCACAACATGAAAGCGAAGTAAAAGAGGAGAATGCGCGAATCCGGAACGAAAAATGTCGAGAGGAAAAGAGACTATAAACCCAAGACTTGTTGGAGAGGATTCTTTTGGAGAGTCATCGAGAGTTATCCTATCTTCGAGAGGATGTATATATTTTTATTTTTATTTTTAATAGAGATCTTGAAAGAGAAAACCTTTCACTTGCAGCAACGATGAGAATGAAGGAGAAATTCTCTTTAAGAAAAATCAATTATTCGAAATTTCTTAAACAAGTCAAAAGATGAACCTGAAACCTTTATTTTTCTTTTCCTTGTACTTCCTTCCTTCCTACCTTCTACCCTTTTTTTATTTGTTTAACGTGTGTGTATGAACTATACGTTCCTCGATTTTTACGTGTGTGTACATATGTAAGATCATCTCGAAATAGCCACAACTATTCTACATAGTACTCTACTTTACATTCTTTTTTCTTTTCTCTTTTTCTATTCCGTGCCAAAAAGAACGAGCTCACATTACGTTTATACTAACGTTGAATTTTAATAAGATTGTTCAAAGTTAGAATGTTTATTTATATACATTTATTATTAATATATATTAAATTAAGAGAACACATAATGGCGAGATTTGATATTTGCGGCAATAAATTTTCGAGTTTTTAATGCCAATTAATAATAATAATAATAATAATAATAATAATAATAATAATAATAATATTAATTTAATAAAAATTTAATTTAATATACAATATATTAAATATATTATATAATTATTATAATTTAATTATATGTATATATATATATAAATTATTATATAAATTGTAAAAGGAGTGTAACCCTTCGGGGAAGCAGTAAAATGTATCTATCTATCTATCTATCTATCTATCTATCTATCTATCTATAAATTATTATATATATATATAAATTATATTAATATATAATTTAATATATAATATATAATAATATTAATTTAATAAATTAAATTATTAATTAAAATTAAATAAAATAAAATTAATATACTATTTCTTTTTATTTATTATCTTAAAATATATTAATTGTTCTATTGATTTAAACAAAACCTTTTCTAGGAAAATAGAAATATTAAAATGTTACTTATTTTTAACAAAAATTTACTAATATGAATTTATATAGTCCTCCATAAAAAAAAATGTCTATTGATAATAATTAAAAAAAAAAAAAAAAAATCCAATATTATTTCGATATAATTGAGTAGAATATTACAGTAGTGTCTGTTTAACAAGTACACTCGTTATCGTTTCGTTCTCAATTAAATAATGATCCAATAATTATCTTCTTTTTTTTTTACAGGGGGGCTTTGCTAGGGTCTACCTAATGACCGACGTCAGTGATGGAAATCAATACGCTTGCAAGATAATCCCGAAAAATCGGATGCAGAAGATTCACATGCAAAAGGTTCGCACACGTCGCCTACCTTTCTTCTTTCATCGTATACGCCCTCCAAGATTAATGTGCTCCATTTGGGTTCATTCCAAAACGGACTCCTGAAATCAAACGCGACTTATTCACTTTACGATTCATTTATCGGAGAATCCAGTGGCAAAGTTTCTATACATCCATAGGATCCAACAATGGGTCTTTCGTCTAAATTTCATTTGCACACGGTATGGGAGAAGCCGAAAACAACGTAGTAAGACGTTTTGAAAGAATGACAAGTCATAATAATAATTATCGTTTAATTTTGTACGATCAATGTAACATGTGACTATTGCTATAAAAGGTGTATAGCATAGTGATCGTTACTTTTGAAAAATTCTAAACAAAAATGTCTCGACTGGCTTCGACGTTTACCGTTGCTTATCTCATTCTTTATAATGATCCAATTTTTTTTGCAATACTTTTAGTTACAATAAAATAGATAAGTCGTTTCAAATTTTTCACAAATATCGAAATATGAAAAATTTTGGATTAACCCCCTTAAGTTGCATCCTCGAGTTAACTCGAGTGACGTTGTATTCTATGCTGTTGTAAAAATTTGGATTAATTTTGTATTTTTTTCTTTTTTTTTTCATTTTTTTTTTTGCCAAGACAATGTT